TGGAAAGCCGGGGTTCCAGCCCTGTCGGAGGGGTAGCGGCAGTTCCCCCAACGCGCGCTGGGGTGCACACTGCCCCACGGCCCGCCCGCCCTGCGCAGGGAGCCGCATGCTGCGTCCTCTCGGTCCCGCGGACATCGACCGCTGCCTCAGACCCTGACGCCCCTGAACCCATGTCCCTGTAACTCCGACCCCCTTGAACCCCACGTCCCTGTAACTCTGACGCCCCTGAACCCCACGTCACTGTAACACCGACGCCCCTGAATCCCACGTTTCTGTAGCACCTACTCCCTCGAACCCCAAGTCTTTATAGCACCGGCTTCCCTGAATCCGACACCCCTGTAACACCGACTCCCCTGACGTGACTCCCGAACATGACACACCTGTAACACTGATGCCTCCTAACGCCAATGTTCTAGTAACCAACGATCTCCGACTCGACGCTCCCTAACCCTAATGCCACTGTAATACCAGACACTCCCTATCGGTAACTGCCCCCTAACCCTGGCACCCCCTCAATACCCTGATGCCTCTATAATGCTTACGCTTTCCTAACCTCAATGTCCCAGCCATGACACTCCCTAATCCTGATGCCTTTATAACTCCGATGGCCCCCTAACTCCTACACCCTCTGATATTCCTGTTCCCTAACCCAGACACCTCCTAACCTGCCAGTTCCCTAACCCCGTTATTCCCCAAGTCTTACAGCCCTAATCCTGACATCCTCCAAGCCTGACAGCCCCCTAACCCCACTGGCCTTAACGCCATTCCCCTTGACACCCAGGGCCCTCCAGGTCGCCAGTCCCGAGGCCCAGGCCTCCATTCTGCGCTGGGTTGCCTTCCTTCTGTTACAGGGCTGTCCCAGGTGGAGCCTGGCAGGTGCCAGCGGGGTGAGCACCCCAGCACAAGTCGGGGAGCGGGGAGCTGGGGACACTGTCCTGATCAGGGCAGTAGTGGCTGCAGAGCTAGGGACCTGCTGGCCCTTGAGGAGACTCACCTGAGAAGGAAGGGTTTCCCAGTTAGGACGAAGAGGGCACAGGACGTGTGACCCCATACCTGCCTCTCCGACTTCCTGGAGTGGGATTTTGGAAGAGATAAACCTCCCTTGCTACTGCTTTCCTAAGGGGCCTGGGAGCCACCGGCCAAAGACCCCAGACCTAGCTTTTCCCTACGGTACAGAGGCCAGGTGAGCAGGGCCAGTCCCCAAGTTCATCATCCCTGGACCCAACACACCCACCTGAGGGCTCAGCCACATTGGATGGGATATCCCCAGGCACCTCCCACTGGGTAGGGTCTGTCCCAGCCTGCCACTGCCCAGCCAGCCCCTCCGCAGCTCCGGTACCGTTAGCACTAGGCTTGGGCCCAGCTGCTCCCAGTGCCCTTGGCCAGCTGGGCGAGGGGCAAGGGGCGGAGACTTGGCTGCTATTCTAGGGAACAGGCAGCCACACAAAGGCTGTTGTCGAAGAGGGGCATGGCTCTCATGCTTCCGAAAAAGTAGCTTTTCTTCATGAAGACGGATTCACCTAGGTTTTCTTCCCAGGGAAACGGCATTTAACAGGGAAGGAGCCCTGGGAGTGCCTGAGAACACGGTTCTCCCATGTGATCGCAAGCCGCTGGGACCCCTGCCTCACCTGAGCCAGCCTGCCTGCTTTTCACCCCGACCATTTGTGTCCTTTCAGCCATGGAGCGTGAGGAGGATGTCAGCCCGGAGGTATGGGACCGGAGGGTTCCAGGTATGGGACAGGGGTTATTTCTGGACCAGGAGAAAGGGAGCCCTTAGTGCTTAGCTTCTGCTCCGCCAGCAGTCCCTTGGAGCCTGAGTACGAGTGTGGCAGCGCGGGCCTCTGCCCCTCAACTGAGGCCCTGCCCGTTCTTCCCCCGAGATCGCAGCCGTCAGTCCCTGGTTCTCGTTAGGACTTCACGTATTCATTTTGTCAGAGGGTCTTTTTCTCAGTGGAACATCTGTAGCCACATCACAAAGGCTTTTATTCCTAAAGCAGACAATTTGATGCATCGAAACAGCCGTGAAAAGCTCTAAGTCTGAGTGTACGCCCGTGAAGAATGTGAGCATAGGCCATGGGGCACCTCGTGACCTGTCTGTGGACAGTCCTGCCTGTCCCAGAGTGGTGGCTGAGCTCTGAGGGACACATTTCAATGGAGGGTGTGGCCACGGTTGCTGAGCACACGGTTAGGCCGGGAGGGACAGCAGGCCCCGTGCTTCCGTTTGCCTCCTGAACCAAATTCAGGGGCTGTGTTTTCTGGGCCACTTGCTCACTGCCTGATGGAGCGTCCCGCTTGTGAGAGGCTGCTTCGAGTGCTCCTCCGTTCCCGTGGTTTCTGCACCGAAGCCATGTCTGGTCCTGGCTCTGAGGGGTCAGGTGCACTGCTCCAGGCCACGCACTGGTGCAGAGACGGCAGAGCCAGCAAATGCCCCACCTGGCCTGTTCCTAGCTGCCTGGGGAGGCGCATAGATGGACAGAGTGTCCTCTGCGTGGGTGGCCGCAGCCCCTGCCTGCTCCCCATCTGAGCTCACCTCCTTCCTGGGCTATGGGGGAACAGGCGACAACCCTTCTGTGCTGTGAGCTAGTATTTAACGTCAGAACCCCGATGGCTCTGTGGGGTTCCTCAGCACTGCTGCTGCTTGGGCTGCCGCGTGCCCCGGGGCAGCAGAGGGCACCGAGAGATGGCCTTGGCACTCCCTGTGGGCCAGCTGGGCCTTTTGCTTGGGACTTCCATCCTGTGGACCCAGAAAGCCTAGGACTTGGTGCATTCATCGTGCCTGGAGCGGCGGCGGCGAAGAGCCCAGCTGCTGGCCCAGTCCGGCTGTCCTGGTGTCCTTGGAGACAGGCCTCTGTGCTCCCGGAAGATGCTCCTTTCTGGAGAGGCCCTCCTGAGTGGGAGCCCTGTTCTCACTGCCCTCTCTGACCCACGGCGTCCCCTCCAGGCTGGCGTCTGTCTGGTCCCTTCCCTGCACTCCTGGTGGCTGCAGTGGATAGAGCAGCTCCCGCCACCCACCATGGTAACTGCCTCACAGGTGGCAGGCTCTCCCCACGGGTCTGGGGTGGGGGGCTTTGTGGCACTTGCTGACGGTGCCCTGTCTGCGCCCTCGCCCAGCTGATGGGGATGGCGATCGGAGCCGTCCTGGCCTTGGCCTTCGCTGGCGCCGCTGTCCTCGTATACAGGAGGTCTGGCCGATCCCGTGAGTACAGCACCTCAGGCTCCACTCTGAGGACTGGACGAAGGGGTGTGGGTGGCTCCCCATGTCTGGCCTCCAGGAGCAACCCTCATAGTGGCTGCTGTTGGAAAGTGCCGGCCCGTAGCAGCCAAGGCTGGGCCCACGGGGCCCACAGAACTACATCTGCCCAGCTTGGTTGGCCCACATTCCGAGCAGGGTGCCATGAGAGCTGCCAGTCTTGCTGCCTCTGCCTGGCCTGTGACAGCCCTGGGATGCTCGCCGGGGCCCTTTCCCATGTGTGCGTAACGGGGTGGGAGAGCCAGCCTGAGCTCATGGCCCTTATGGAGCCCTCAGGCGGCCCTCACTCCCCCTCTCAGGCCACATGCAGCCCACGCCCCAGTACAGGTTCCGGAAGCGGGACAAAGTGATGTTCTACGGCCGGAAGATCATGAGGAAGGTAATCCGGGCAGCCGGACAGCGCCATCCTTCCCGGCAGAGGGACACAGGAGCTCCGCAGGCGGTGCCGGCTGTGTGGGGAAGTGGCTGTGTGGCACATCATTGTCAGCAGCACCAGGGATGGGCCACGTGCTGGGCAGGCTGATGTTGGCACCATGGGCAGCCCACGGGGCAGTCCTGAGACTGAGAACTGGGTCTCTCCAGGCTCAGGGGTGCGACTTGGCCTCGCCTGTCCTCTGCAGGTGACCACACTCCCCAACACGCTTGTGGGGAGCACGGCCGCCCCCCGGCAGCGGGTGAGGAAGAGGACGAAGGTGCTGTCTTTGGCTAAGAGGTACTGGGTGCCCTAGAGACCACATCGCATCCCAGCCACCCTGCCCCCAGTGGGCACTGGTGACCCCAGATGTCACGGCCGCCGTGGCTTCCCCGCCTCGGGGCCCGCAGTGTTCACACCCCTGCTGTGCACCCCTTGGCTTCTGCTCCAGTGTCTGGGTCTTGCTCTATAGGATCCTGCGTTTCAAGAAGGAGTACCCCACCCTGCAGCCAAAGGAGCCACCACCCTCCTTGCTGGAGGCCGACCTCACGGAGTTCGACGTGAAGAACTCGCACCTGCCGTCGGAAGTTCTCTACATGCTGAAAAACGTGCGGTGAGCACAGCGGGCCCAGGAGGCGTGCTCACCGGGGACGCTGCAGCCTGGCGGCCACCTGCTGCTTGCCTGTGGCTGCCTTCGGTTGGCGGGGCTGCCCTCCTCCTGCCACGTTTGCCCGGTAGTTAGTGGGGCCCCCACCGTCGCGTCACTGCTGCATTTCTGTGCCCCCGTGTCGTCATGTCCAGTGAGTGTGCAATGTCTGGGTACCTTGTATCTCTCTCCAGACCCTTTCTGCCACTGTTTCACTGTCCGGGGAGGGTGCCCCTCAGCCTGGTCCGAGTTCACAGTCACAGCGCCAGAGCCCTTTGAGCTCGTGAGAAAACAGCTTTTGGGGGTTCCTGAAGTTTAAGATCTGTCCTGACAGTGATCCCGGGCTGCAGCCCTGGGAAAGCCAGCTCCGTGGGTCTGGGTATGGTGACGGTGGCCTGGACCCCCATCGGCCTCTTCCAAAGGCCTTCCCGCCTCCCTGCAGGGCACCCCACATGTGCTCTGGTTCTTGCAGGGTCCTGGGCCACTTTGAGAAGCCACTGTTCCTGGAACTCTGCAAACACATGGTGTTCGTGCAGCTGCTCGAAGGGGAGCATGTCTTCCGGCCGGGCGAGCCGGACACCAGCATCTATGTGGTGCAGGACGGGCGGCTGGACGTCTGCATCCAGGACACGGTGAGAACCCCCAGCGCCTGAGCGGGCAGGCCCTCTGTGGGCGGGCAAGGTGGAGGGTAAATTCTTCCATTGAAAAGTGTGTGCAGAAGTTTAAATTTCAGTTCTTTGAGGAAAAGGCACACTCGACCCCAACATTAGAACGTGGCTGCCTCTTCCAAGCTGGCAGCCATCTCACGTACGCGTGTACCTTCTGTCTGGTAGGCTCAGTGGCAGGTAGTGGTTTTATTTCTGCGTTTCACATCGCATGTCTGGGCATTTTAAAATGTGTCTGCCGCTTTCTTGGGACGCCCCTCCGTGGTTGGGTATCAGTCTGCCATGATCAGTCGTGGCCTGGCCTTTTTTTCAGGTTTCAGACTATGAACAGTTTTAGCTCTAAGGAAACAAGGTATTAGTTCATCTGGAAGCAGAATACTTGTTTCCTGTCTGTCACATTACCCCCTTGATCACAGTTGCTGGGGTGACCTCCACGCCAAAACTGCCAAGGTCGCATTGCTTTCCAGGAGGGCGTACGGGTTCATTCGCCCTGGTCAGTGTGACCCGGGCTCCCCAGTGCTCGTCACTGCTAAAGCAGACACTTAGCAAACCCGGGCTGCACGCGCTCACTCCCAGCTTGGTGGTAGCTGCCACCTGCCGGAGCCCTGGGGCTCCTGCATGTCCTCATGGTCTCTAAACCACGGTGCTGTCTGTAGAATTCTCATGTGTGGCTACGGCTGGACCCGATGGTATAACTAGAAAGGAAAGGGCCTTTGTCCGGGCTCCTGCAGTCAGGCTGTGGCATCCAGGGCAGTGGTCGTCCCACAGGCTGACTGCCAGGTTTGAACAGATTTCAAGGGTCTTCCTGGGTCAGGGGGAGATGAAGCTCCAACACAGCCATGTGCCGAATAACGTTTCGGTCAACAACAGATTGAATATGCCCGCGGTCCCCAACCCCCCGGCCGCGGACTGGTGCTGGTAGTGGCCTGTTAGGTACGGGGCCACGCAGCAGGAGGTGACTAGCGGGCAAGAAGCAAAGCTTCATCTGTATGTGCAGCCGCTCCCCAGTGCCAGCATCATTGCCTCAGCTCCACCTCAGGTCCTCAGGTGTTAGATTCTCATAGGAGCCCCGGTCCCTGGTGCCACAGAGGTTGGGGACCGCTGGGTACTGCGGGGGTCCCATGAGTTATAGTGGAGCTGGAGAGTTCCTGTCCCCAGGGATGCTGCTGTTATCACATCGTAGCAAAACACATTGCTGAATGCAAGGTTTTTATTTTATAAAATGTAAAAGTTTATGCAGTAAAAAAGTCACAGTAGGCTAAGAATATCATTGAGGAAATTTTTAATAAGTTTTTTATAAATTACAAAAATACTTTTTATAAACATGAACTTTATTTTACAAATCAGCGTGTGTATAAAAACGTTCATGCACTCGGTGTCCAGAGTGTATAAATCTGCAGCTGTGGACAGTGGCACCCCAGGCCATCACAGCCACTCACTCAGACTCAGAGCAGCTGCCAGCCCCGCAGGTTCCATTCGTGCTGAGCGCCCTGTGCGGCCGTCCTGGTTTTTCTCTTTTATGCCATGTTTTTACTGTACTTGTCTACATCCAGATACACTTAGACACACAGCATGTCCCATCGTCACGGCTGCCCACAGAGCTGGCCACTGTCACGTGCTGTGCAGGCCATATCTCTTGGGTCTGTGAGGTTCACGCAGTGACGAAAACTCCCGATGACGCGTTCTCAGAGCTTGTCCTGTCGTTAGGCATCACGACCATTAAGCCACCAGCAGGACGTTCTTTCTCTGTGAATCCAGTGGAAAGATATGTGAAATGCTGTTATCCCTGCCAAGCATGACAAGGTTGGCGCCACAGCGCCCCCAGTCAGGCCTACCGGTGAGGATGCGCCATGCGGCTGCACATCCGTGCCGCCGGCCGGGTGTCCCCACATCTCTTGTTGCCTCTCACGATTTCTGTCCTCGGCTACCAAGTTCATCACCCCGTGTACCATGCAAGCCGGCCCGGGGAGGCCGACGGGTGGCAAGGGTCGGTTTGCCTGGCTGGCCTGGGCCAGGCCTCCCCCTGTGGGTGACTCTGCTCTGTTTCCCAAGAGCAGGACGGCACTGAGGTGGCGGTCAAGGAGGTTCTGGCTGGAGACAGCGTCCACAGCCTCCTCAGCATCCTGGATGTCATCACCGTGAGTCCCACAGCCCTGTCCACCCTGGCCCACTTGGCCGGCAGCCCTTCACCCAAGCCCGGCTCCCCGCTGCGCAGGCTGGCCCAAGGGTGGTGGGTGTTTGGGGGCGGGGCCTAGGGTGGGTTCTATGGGGTGGGGTTGGGGTGGGGCCTGAGGACAGCTTTGTGTACAGGGGCGGGGGTCGAGGGGTGGGGTGGGTTGCTGAAGCAGCTCTGTGCCTTTATGAAAAGCTGTGGTCGTCGCTTAGACGACTGCTATTTGCACTGGTCACACGTGCATGTGTCCAGGCTTCAAAAGGCAGAGTATCATGTGGGGGCGTGTCACCCCATCCTTCCGGCCCGAGGCCCCTTCTCAGGGGGACCTTCTCGGGGTCCTGTGTGCTAGCATGCAGCTCTCTGTCATGCCCAATCCTCTGTGGCTCTGCTGGGTGCGTGCTCCTGTACGGACGGCGCTTCCTGTGTTGGAAGCCCACCCTGGAGGTCAGACCGTCAGGAGAGCCCACAGATGCCCACCCCCTGCCCAGAGGCTGGGCAGCCAGCCACGATTGAGGGTGCCCGTCTGCTCGCCCCAACCGCGAGCGAGCCACTTCATGCTTGATTCTCGCCAGTCTAATCGGCTGAAACACGGCATCTCGTGTCCTCTCATGGTTTTTAAACTTGTCGTTATGGAACGTTTCAAACGTACTCAGAAGTGGCAGGGAGCAGAGTCAGTCTGCGTGCCCATCCCCAGCTGCAAAGGGTCTCAGCTCAGAATGCCTTGCTCCCTCCCCGTTAACCAAAACTTAATGTTTATTTAATCGTCTTTTGCTTGTGAGTAGAACCCACGTACAGTAAAGCCAGTCTTGCGTGCACGCTGTTTTGACAGTTGCATAGCCCTGTGCAACTCAGCAGGTGGCTCGATTTCCACCTTATCCTTTGCAGTTGTACCTCTTACTTTCGTTGTTGGCTGCGTGTTAAGGCAGCTGGCACCTCGGTTTCCCAGGACTGCACAGGGGGGTCTCCAGAGCGGTTAAGCAGTCTGGGCCAGGACACCTGCTCGTAGGGCCAGGAGTCCAGGTACTTGTGTGGCACTCTCGATGGGTGGACCCTTGGTGGGTACCCTCCAACCCACCCCTGAGTTCTTGTGTGTGACAAAGGACGAGTGCTAAACAGACTTTGGGGTGTGCAGGCCTCATCCTTCCCCCATCAGACTGGCACAGACGTGCTGAGGCTGATTGGGGGCCTGGGGTGGAGGCGTGGACAGGACCCTGGTCTCAGGCTCTGCTCCTGGGGCTTTACAGGGTGTGGCCAGGGCTGACAGGGACACCACGTCCTATGAGCAGGGCTGACCCAGGCAGGAGACACTCATGCCTGCAGTCCTGTGCTGGGACTGGGACCCTGGACGTGCGAGTGGGGGCTGTGGCTCTGGCTGGGGAGCGTCTGAGTCTGTGAGGGCGCTGACTGTGCTGGGGATGCGGTAAACCAGGGTCCGTGGCTCCGTCCTCCGCTCGGCCGCCTGGCTTCTGCACAGACCGCTAGAGGCCCTTCCCTGTCGTCTGCGTGGTGGTCGGTGCTGATGGCACCTGATCTTGAGCTGAATGCTATCTCACCACACTGTGAGCTGCACCCCCAGCCTGCTGCAGTCACCTCATCCTCAGGTCCTGGGTTAGGAGAAAAAAACGAGTGACCTTTGGAGAAAGTGGCCACAGGGATCGATCGGTCATGTGGAAGGGCATCATTTTTGTCTTCCCAGGCACTAGTGTTTGTCATTTTTAAAAAATGTAAACCTTATCAAAATAACACAGTATTCTAAGAACGCATATGTTCTGTGACCCCCACTCGTGTACTGTCCCTTGCCCAAAAAGGGTACTCACAACTCGCCGAGGCCCCGCTGCGCGGCCGACTTCTCCTGTGCTCTGCAGTCTTTGTGTTGGGTCCCTGTCGACCGTAGGCTGTCCTGGTGGCCCTGTGGCCTCATTGCCCCCACCATGGTGAAGCCGCGTGCACGTGTGCTGCTCTGTCCGTGGGCCCTGCACACAGCCAGTGGCTGCAGGGCCCAGGGGACGGTCTGGCTCCCCAGAGCTCGCAGTGCCCAGGCTCCGCCAGCTCCACGGCTCCGCCGTGCCACGTGTGCTCGGGCCTACGCGGGTGCATCCCTCGCTGGGCCGGCCCTCCCTGGGCCTCCTGAGAGCGGGCGAGGGAGCCGGTTCACAGACCTCGGTTCCGGATTCACGCCGCCCGGCCCGTCCCTCTTCACCGTACTTCCCAAGAGCTTCTCCGACTTCATCTCCCCACCTTCCACCGAACTTTTCATTTCTGTTCTCACGTTGGTTATTTCAGGAACTCTTTCTTTTTAAACATCGTCTTTTCTCGTGGGTGATGTCGAACAAGGGCCACTTTTGTTCCCTCGTCATCTCTGGCTCTTCTGGGTTTCTCCTCTGTTTAGTTTGGCTTTCTCCCTCAGATCTGGCCTCCTGTGCCCCACAGCCTGTGTGTGAGAGAGTGACGTCCTCATTGGACTCGCCACACAAACCACAGATGAGCTGTAGACACGTGTCGTGGAACAGAGAGGCCAGACCCACACAGGGCGCGCACCGCGCCTTCACGGCCGGACTGGCAGCGGGGGAGGTCAGCGCACTGCCCTGGGGCCGGCGGAGCCGTGTTGGGCTCCGTGGGCCGCCGGTCTCCGCTGCAGCCGCCGAACCCCGCCGTCCCAGCCTGAACGAGCTCACACGGCCGAGCTCCAGCAGCTTCGCTTACGCCAGCAGTGGCTGCTGGGGCCCTTGGCTACGTTTTTTCCTGACTGTGAGCCATCGAGACTTGGTTGATTCAGCCTGGGGAGGGAACCCCGAATAATCTGGGTGCTGTGAATATTCCACACCTTCTTTTGAGTGCTGGTTATATGACTAGATAGTTCAAGAAAAGGCTCGTAGGCTCCTTGGAGGCTGGCTGCGGGCCTGCGTGTGCTCAGGGTTTGTCCCCGGGGCTCCCTGCAGGAAGGCTGGCGGGCCCCACAGGTCAGTGTCTGTGGGTTTCTTCTCCAGGGCAGAGCCCCAGACTGGAATCTGCCAGTGCCCCGCCATGCGGACGTCAGGGAAGGAGTCTGGAGGTGCCCCTTCCAGGGGGACACTCATCTGGCCCTGGTGCGACATGGAGCTCGGCCCTCGGCCATGCTTGACGCCGCAGCCCCCCTCGTGCTGGTCGCAGCCAAAGCCTGGACAAATGCAGGAGCAGTTACCGAGCGCGCTGCGAGCTGCGGGCAGGCTGTGGGTGGGAAGCGCCTGCGAGGCTGGGTCCTGGTCTCCTCTGCCGACCACTGTCCAGCTCGGAGCCGGAGTCCCCGTAGGCAGGAGCGCGTCCTGCTGTGGGCACTGCGTCCGTCCGTCTGTGAACGCCTGTGTATCCAGGGCTGACCCCGTGTGGCACAGCGCAGACAATGGAACCAGCCTAGCCCCGTGTGGCCTGTGCAGGACAGAGCAGAGATCCGAGGCAGCGCGGACAGCCGAGGGCCGCAGGAGCCCACTGCCCACAGACACGAGACCGAGCGGTGGCCGCAACCTGACTGGTGGAGAACCTGTTGACGCGGACCAGCAGTCCCCGGAAAACTGTAACCGAACCCTAACCTTACGAATCGCACTGCAGACACCAGTCACGTGATGGGGGTCGTCAGATTGGGTGGACACGCCAGGGGCTGGCGGCCTCTGTGAAACCCAGTTCTCACAGAAGATTTGGCGAAAGGTAAAGGGATGGGCAAAGCCACATCATGAAAACGCAAGACAGCTGAGGAGCTATGTGAACGTCGTGCAAAGCAGACTCAGGCCACGGAGTGGCCCATGGGCAGAGATGGGCAGCGCGGGCCCGTGGGTCCTACAGATGCTCGCCCAGCCACAGGGTTTCAAAGACGTGACTTCGGTGTGGAGCAGTGTGTCGAAGCCGAGAGGAGAAGCAGCTGCTCTCTCCTTGGCTGACAGACGAGGGAGATGGGAAATCTGCAGACACAGAATCTGAACAACAGAGCAGCCACCTAGATTAGTTAATCGATTAGTTGAACGTTATTGAACTGGAGCAGCAGAAGAAAACATGTTCTTTTCGGGTGTATACGGAACCATCGCAACAGCCACTAGTTCTGAGCCATAAAACAAATGTTAATAAATGTCAAGGAATTTTGAATCGTGCAGTGTATGTTCTTTGGTTGTGATGGTATTAAACTAGAAACCAGTAACAGAAAGGAATAGAGGAAATCCCCTAAATATTCGAAAATTCAAAAGTACACTTCTAAATAAAACATCGGTCAAAGAGAAGTTACAGGGAAGTCAGAATACTTCAAACTAAATGAAGATGTCACATTGCACATTTGCGGAGTGCAGCTAGGCTGGTGCACCGAGGAAAGTCGCTCGCCTAGAATGCTTCTACTAGAAAAGAGAAAGTCTCAAATCAGTGGCCTACACTTTTACCTTGAAAAACTGGGAAGAGCCAGTGGAAGGGAGAAAGGGGTTAAGATAAAAGCGGGGGTCAGCGAGACGGCAGGTAGGGAGGTGGCAAGAACGCCACTGGGCACAAACGCTGGTTCCTGGCCAGCATCACACTCAGGGAGCCTCCAGCCAGGGCAGCGGGGGACAGGGAGCAGATGCCCACCGCCGGCGTCGGAAGTGCACGGGGACCAGAAGGTGAGGGCTGAGCGACTCCACCCACATGAAGGCAGCCCCGAAGCTGACATGGAGAGGGTCCTGGGAGGGGCCGAGCTGCCGACGCCCACAGTGCGACACAGACTACTGCACGGGAGCTCAAGTCAGACCGTGGCTGAAATCTTGCCCAGAAGGAGGACTCCAGGTATGAGTGGCTTCACACAGACTCCACCTAGCATTTAAAGAAGAAATCATGCCGATTTTACAAAAACTCGCAGAAAAGCGCCGAGGGCACACCAAACCAGACAGACAGACACTGCAAGGAGAGAATTGCCACCAATGTCTCATGAACGGAAACACACGCCCCTGTAAAATGCTATCAGTTCGAGTCCAGCAACATGTAAAAAACGGTACTGCACGAGGCCACGTGATGTTTGGCTCAGGAACGTAAGACTGTCTCGTCAGTCACAAGTCTGATGCGCCACATCCACAGACTGAAGCAGTAGCACCTTGTCATCTCAGTGGAGGCAGAAAAGGCGTTGGCCAGGACTCAGCATCCATGCATGATAAAAACGCTCAGAAAACTAAGAAAAGAGAGTTTCCCGGATTGAGGTAAGGATGTCTGTGAGAGCCCGCAGCTGGCACCGGGCTCCCCGGGCGAGACGGACACGGTCCTTTGAAGATCTGAAACACCTGCTCGTCCACTCAGAGCCGCCGCCAGGCTCAGCAGCACTGAGGGCCTCCCCAGGGCGGGGCACGAAGAGCTGGAGTTGGAAGAAGGACAGACGGCCTCTGTCCACAACCAGCACAAAACCCAGCAGTCCACAGGACGCTCCGTGGCCCAAGTGAGCTCAGTAAGGTGCCTGCGTCAGAGCGTAGAGCCAGCTGCATCTCTGCGTGTTAGCGAACAATGGGGAATGGAGACGCTAAAAACGGCAGCATTTACAACAGTCCCCAAAGCCACAAATACAGGGTGTCCGTCTGACAGGACACACACAGGACCTATATGCTGGTGAGGGAGCCAGAGCAGCCCCAGAGGGACGAGGGACACACTGGTTGCTGCGCTCGGAAGACGTACTGGTGAGAAGGCACGGCCCCCAAAGTCATCATCACAGTTCCAGTCAAAACCTCCGCGAGCTTTTGATTCTAGAAATGGGCAAGTTGATTACAAGATCATGAGGATGACGGGGAAACTAAAACAGCTCAAGGAATTTAAAGAACATGCTGGAGGACTCACACCGCCTTGTTCAAGCCGTACCACGAGTGACCAGATGGTGCAGCAGTGACACACAGGTCAGCTCCCGAGCACGGAGCCCAGAGATGGCCCGCACGCTGGCAGGCTGGCCACTGACAGCTGCAGAGGCCGTCGCGAGCAGACGATCCTCTCAGCAGGCGGTGCTGGCTTCGCCATCCCACGCAAATGACCTCAGCCCACCTCGCCTTGACTGGAGGTGGCCATGTCTGCCGCGGGGTTTCGTAGATGCGACACAAGAACCTGACCCATGAGAGAACAGCGCTGCTGAGCTGGACTTCGCCAAGTGTAAAGCCTGCAGTCTGAGAGACGCTGCCGGAAGAGCCAGTCGGCCGCAGACTGCGACACCCACGTCTGACCGGGGACCTGTGCCCAGAGTGTGCGAAGAACTCTCAAGACCCACGTCAAGGAAACGGGCCACTCACTGAAAAACAGACGTGCAGTGTGGCCAGATGACCGCCTGGGCGGCCATGACGCCAGGCAAGCAGTGACCAGCATGCGCCGGTCCCTCGGAAAGTGGGGTGCGACCCTGGGGAACCGTAACCCCGTCAGTGGCCATGTGGTCAAGGCTGTGAGGCAGAGTGCTGTCCACCACTGTCTGCCCCTGGAGGACGGGGACGCACGGGCTCACTGGCATGGCAGCTCCCTCCTGAGGCTGCCAGCACCCGCCCTGCAGCACCCCGGAGCTGTAACACTCGGGACCACCATGGTTGAGGGATGACGGTGTGGGCGCATGTCTGTGTATGTCACCCGACAGTCTCACAGCTGGGCGGTTCCTCGGGCACTGCGAGGGTGAGGAGTGCTCACACGGCCCCGGGGGCGCGGCCTGGCCCTCTGTGATGGCCGCCGCCCTGGGAGCAGCGCTGTGTCCTCCCCCTGCCAGTGGGGATGCTGCGCTGCGTCGACATGAGCCGCACGCGTGGCGCACGCGGTGGCCGGGTGCGCCCTGCAGGGAGCGGGCTGGGCCCTCCGTGCATGTAGGTGCATTGCGTTTTGACAAAGGCAGAACCTTTGGGACAGAAAAGGGCAGGGTGGTCCCCGGGCACAGCGGCGGGAGGAGAGGCATTGGCAGGATGCAGCTGGGCGCGGCGGAGGGCGAGGTTGTGCGTGGGGCTGCCGCTCCTGCCATGCTGCCTGGCCCACGGGCGCCCTGCCTCCCCCAGCCCCCTCCTCTGTGACCGGGCCAGGTTCTCCTGCCATGCTGCCTGGCCCCCGGGCGCCCTGCCTCCCCCAGCCCCCCTCCTCCGTGACCAGGCCAGGCCTGTGTGTCACGCATCAGGCAGGTGGAGAGCCAGCTCCAACCCCACCACAGCGGGGCAGCCTGACCGGGTGTCGTCCCTCACAGGGCCACACCGCGCCGTACAAAACCGTGTCTGCCCGTGCCGCCGTCCCATCCACTGTCCTCCGGCTTCCAGCAGTGGCCTTTCAAGGCGTCTTTGAGAGATACCCTGAAACCCTGGTGAGGGTGGTGCAGGTGGGTCACCTCCCCTTCCCCCCACCCCCCACCCCGGGCCTTCCAGCTGCCACAGAGTCCCCAGCCCCGCGCAGGTCGGCAGGGCGGGGGCTGCAGGCAGGGCTGACCGCTGGCAGTGCTGGCCGCTGGGCGGGGGCAGGGAGGACTCAAGTGTGAAGAAGCTTTGCAGCGTGTGCCGCACACTGAGAACGCGTCCCCATCACTTGGACATCGGCAGATCACCCACTGCCCCCCCAGAGAGAGCGTTTTTAACTTCAAATTTCTTGTTCCGAAGTAATTTTTGGTGTATGGAAAACTTACAAAAATACTGCAGGATGCTCATGCCGCTGGCGCTGGCATCTGAGGCGGCCTGGGGCTGTCGAAGCTCAGCTCACGGCCACCCATCTCTCAGATCATCATGGTGCGGCTGCAGAGGGTCACCTTCCTGGCCCTGCACAACTACTTGGGGCTGACCACGGAGCTCTTCAACCCCGTAAGCAGACGCGGGGCCCCCGGCTGTGAGAGGTAACGATGGGGCCGTAGTCTCTCTTGGACCAGAGCTTCATGCCCCTGGGCCTCGTGCTCAGTACCTGCCCCCAGCGGGCCGGCAAGGTTGCTCCTTCTCGGGGGCTGGACTCTGTCCCTTCTGGTCGCCCGCCACTTGTCTGCGGTGGCCCACTGGCTCCTGCGTGCCCCGTCTGGCAGTCTGCAGTTGGGCCTGAATGCAGCCCCTTTGGTCACTGGGCGCACGCTGAGTTGACTGCCTCCAGCGGAGCTGTCTTCTCCTGTCCCCTGGTGTCCCCTGACCCTCCTTTGTCAAGGTGGGGGGAGGACTGATGGCATTGAGATGGGATGACCTCGCGTCCCCCACAGGATCCTCATGAGGCATGGACGGGCAGCCGCGACTGTGACCCACTCTGTCCCCGGATGCTAGGCCAGTGCGCGTGCGTGGGCTGTGCCAGCGTGCCCCTCACTGTGCCGACTCGTGACGCTCTAGGCTTGGTCACCTGGCTTTGCTGACATCTTGGGCAAATCCTTTTGTTTTCTGCATTTTTCATCTTAATGAAGAGTGTTCAGGTTTCTGACACTTTCGACCACTGTCTGAAGTTGCTGGACTTGCCAAGATGGAAGCGAGCTGGGTCATCCTTCCTTAAACCCGCCTGCCCCACTTTCACGGAGCTGGTCCCCAAAGTGGCTTTTCCTCGCGGGCCTCACGTCACTGAGGGCACGGGCCTCGGACGCTCCTGTGGCAGCCACTTCTTTCTCACGCCCCAGGAGAGCCAGGCCATCCCCCTCGTGTCTGTGGCCAGTGTGGCCGCCGGAAAGGCCAAGAAGCAGACGTGCTGCGGCCCCGAGGAGAGGCCCGACAGGCCGCTGCGGCCCCAGGAGTCCTGCGACCCAGGTACTGCCCAGGGTGCCCGCTCCCCCCGGCCTGCAGGGGACGTGGCTCTGGGAAAGCCGCTGGGCCGTGAGCTTCGTGCTCTGACGACGGGGCAATGGGCTCTCGAGGTGGGGCCTCCATGTGGGGAAAGAGACTCCATGCTTCTCAACTAGGAGTCCCTTGCGGGTGGTGCGTGATACGCACCACACTAACCGACACCGTGAGCCAGCACTGACGGTGCGGGAAACTCCGTCAAGGCGGTGGCCCCGGGCCCTCCCTGCACAGCTGTGTGGCGTCCCTTACCGAGTGGCCACTGGTGCCAGGGCTCCAGGCTCACCAGGCGTGCTCGCAGCCACCTCCACTAAGAATGGCACTGAGAAGGGGACCAGGGTTCACACCTGGGGCAGCAGGTCACCTTCATAGCGCTCGGCTGGCAGCAAGGGGCTGGTCAGTTCAGGGAGACCCTGGTGACGGGGCCGGGCAGGGCCTGTGGGCAGGTAGGCACAGGTGACAAGCCAGGCATGTGTGGGTGATAAGGCCATGGCCTGAGGAGGCAGGTGTGTGGTTTGTGCTGCTGTGGGACACAGGCCTGACCTCACACCTGTCCCCTCCCAGCAGACCGTGGGGGCCGTGTGGTGGCCTCTGGGCCTCTGTTGAAGAGAAGTCACTCCGTCCCGCTGCCCTCCATCCATGAGGAGGTCTCGGACGAGCTCAGCAAGGCCCATGCCGGCGACCAGGCTGCTTTGGCCCCACCAGGTAGAGGACCCCTTCCGTGCCCCAGGCATTCATGGGTGACCAGGCCGCCCAGCCCGGGGGCCCCGTGTCAGCGCTCTGGCTCCGTTGGGGCTGCGCTGGCCGACTGGCTGCCCGCACTGCCACACTGCCCGTGCTGGGCTGTGCCACCAGCACCCGTGTGTGCAACCCCACCCCCGAGGCCGCGTTTCCAGCCCCTCTGCCGTCACTGAGCTTTGCTTTCTCCGTGGCCTTGCTGTCGCCAGGAGCCGCTGCCCGCCCACCCCCACCCCACCTGGCTCCTGGCTCTTGGTGGCCCAGTTGCAGAGTTTGTCATGCTCTTCGGTTGTGTAGGCACACTTCCCTGTCCCTGAACTTTCTCCACGGGACCTTTTCTGTGACGTCTGCTTGCTTGTCAGTGCTGCAGTGCCCACCAGCCCACTCACTCACCTGGTGGGCCCAGCAGGGCAGTTCACGTTCACACTGTCACGGTCCAGCTCTCAGTGTAGCCTGGCGCTCAGAGGCGTGATGACACGCAGTGGCCATGCTCCCGCGACATGAGTCCTACCTGCAGGCGCCGCGCGGCTCAGGGCTCGGGCTCCACCAGTGCCACGTCCTCACCCTCCCTCCCTCCTCTGCAGGGGGCACAGCAGGTGCCAGCTCAGACCCCAAGGTGGGCTCTGACCGCTCCAGGGCCCTCCTGCACGCAGACGAGCGCCCCGAGAGCACCGTGCCCGGCAAGGTACGCACTGCTGTCCCCACGCCCTCTCCCTGCTGTGCCCCCAGTCACGCTGCCCGTGTTCCTCTCAAGTCCAAGAAGAGCGTGACTGTCGCAGAGACGCCCTCTGCGGTCTCCCGCCAACCGGAGAGCGATGCTGCCGAGACTGTCGCCAGCACGAAGACAGATGCCATCCTCAGAGCTGCCAAGAAGGACCTGCTCACCCTGATGAAGCTGGATGTAAGTGCCCAGCCCGCCGGCCCTGCGGTAGCAGACGGGGCCGCAGCCCCCTCGCAGGCAGCGGGCATCCGGCTCCCGCGGACGGGGCTCTCGACAGAGCTCCCTGATGCCCGTCCTCTCCGTGGCCCCAGCCCCCACCTGAGGCGGGACTGCTTTGGGCTCAGGGTGGTATGCTCACGGTGCACGGGGCTGCGGGTAGCAGGGGAAGGTTCGTGCCTCGCTCGCATTCTGTGGGCCGGGCCACCACCCAGGACACCGATGGGAGTCAGAGTGATGGTGCCTTGATCGAGTCCCCCCCACACGCTCGCCTTCCGCCCTCTTCCGCCACGCCTGACGGGCCAGGGGACTGCGAGCCACGGGCAGCCACTGTGCCAGGGACAATGCCCCCGACGCAGCCACGGGCAGCCACTGTGCCAGGGACAATGCCCCCGACCTCTTTTGAGAGACTGCAGCCTTGGGCCTTGTGTAGATTCTGTGGGCGACTCGTTCTGCATGTTCTGAGCCCACTGCCGCGTCACTGTGGTGCTGGAGGCCTTGTCATCCTTGCTCTGGGCCAGTGCGTGAGTGCACTGTGTGTGCCCATCTCTCACCCGCGCTGTGGGGCATGCGCCTGCATCCCTGGGAGGTCACCGTCACCTTCCAGACTGGCAGGTGGGGCCTCGTGCGGCCCCGGGGCTCCAGGCCTCCGTCCCAGGTACGTACACATGGGCTGCGAGCCTGGCGGGGCCTAGGCAGGGCTGCTCCGGGCCAGAAGGTTGGCCCTGTGTGGGGGCAGCGGTGGCGCCGTCCCCTCCAAGGCTGGCTGTGTTCTCTGCAGGAGCCCTCCGTCGGTCACAGGTCCTGCGCGGGAATTCTGCCCAGGATTCGCCGTGTTTGCCTCCCGAGTGGTTCTCAGTGGGCAGACTTTC